GTCCACCAAGTGGGAGACCTGCATAAATCGGGCAGGTAGCCCACAGTAAAGCCAGATCCTGTTTGACCCTCAATGCGGAGCTTTTGTCTCATCATTGGGGGGATTTCTTCTTTACACTTAGAGACTGCTGGATGGAACCGAAAGCCGCTTGGTGGATGTTATTGTTCGGCGGCTAGCAACAGTTCATGGATTGTCGTTCGGGAGTTTGGAGCCGTTCATAGATTCGGTCGGGAGATTGCTGCTTCCCCTGAGTTTGGTTCGTGCACTACAGTTTATGCGAACGGAGATTATTTGTATTGCAGAAGGGGAAGGTCGACTAAACTGCGGTTTGGTTTAAAGACACCAGGGGTGTCTTAACAACTTCATTAAGCTGAAGTGGTCTGGGTGCCTAGAGTGGTCCTATAATTAACTTTAGCAGAAAAATACAATGCAAATTTTTACAAACCCCAAAAAGTACCCCAAGATACAACATATCCCCACAAATGTCACATCCCTTGATAGCCCTGATTTGGGTGAACAAGATATCCAAAAATTACCCAGATCGGTTCAGGGGTTCAGGAATTTCCTTGAAGTCTTATTTTTGCCCCAGAGTGCACATGGTCCTATGCCCAAAACAGTTCCATACACTCGACAGAAAAAGACTGCTGGACAATTTAAGATGTTCCAGTTAAAATTCCAAAGGGCAAAAACAGTACTTTTGAACATGGGTTATCACAATGTAATGGATAACCTGGCACCCCAACTGGGTACCTCCATTGAAGGATGCTCCTGGCGCTTCCTGAGGACTCCAAGCACTTCAACAGACACCTCCAGACACTGGACCACATGTGGTCCTTGGAACTCAGGAACCGATTGGGGAATTAGCTTTAGTCCTTACAAGGGCTTTCCCCATTGAATCTCCTGCAAGCTGGAACAGCAGACACAGGAGCAAATCATCTTTCCTCCAATAACAGGATGACACACAGTTTTGGAGTGTAAGCAGGAACAGTCTGAGCTGGGGCTTTAGTGTTTCTTTTATACACATTTCTCCACAAGGTTAACACCCACGTGGCCTTGTGGAACAACCAACCAACAAAATACAATACATTTAGACACTCCCAGCAATTACACACAAACCCTCCCCTCTGCCTGTGATATAATTATCACAGGCAGGAAAAATATGCTTTTTACACATTTACCATAACTTTAATAATATACATCCAATCTCCATAAAAGCATATTAATAATCAGCACACTTAAAATATAGACATATCCAAAAATCATACAATTCCTTGCAGGGGTTAAAAAGTTAGTTGGAAGTCCTTGTGACCAACTGCAAGCATGCTTTCCTGCCCAAAACGGTTCCATAGATTTGGGCTGTGCGGTCGGTCAATTTCACTTAGAAAAATTACTAAGTACCATTCGCATGCATGAACGGGGCACCGTTCGTGCAAATAGCTTAGTCTCACTGTGCGTTCAAATCACCGAACGGGACTTAGTTTTCAGCCGCAGCGGCTAAGTGGAGGAGAAGGTAAGGGTCTGTGATGCTCGTGCAAATGGGTAGGTGATTGACCGTATTCGGCTGAATAAATATAGCCGCAGTCATGTGTTCGTCTGTACGAAGGCGGTCACCCAGCGGTCAGCAATTAACCTACAGCAAACCCCCAGTCTGGGAGGTAAATTAGCCAGACACTTCCACTTCTGTGTGGTCCGCCTGTACAATACTTGGTTCGGTAAGCCCCATTTACCAAACCAAGTGGGAAAAAGCCACAAACACAGTATTTTAAAGGTCTGGGGACACAGTCTTAAAGGGGCATTGTTACAAAAAGTCCCAATATGCTCACGTACAGTTTTTAAAGGGCCATACAACAAAAGGCCATAATCTTGGGAAAAAAGGCAAGCAATCAGGCCCCTCAAGAACTTATATCTGCGTTGTTTAGTAAATAGCACTCAAGATAATCATCTTGAAGCAGATATGGAGAATCTTGTCTCAGTATACCGATGCTATAATTTGCTGGGCATGCCTACTTATTATCTGA